CCCTCTCCTCCGAGGACAGGCTGAGGGAGCTGGGGCTGCTCAGCCTGGAGAAGAGAAGGCTCCGGGGGGACCTTAGAGCAGCTGCCAGTGCCTGGAGGGGCCGACAGGAAGGATGGAGAGGGGCTTTTCACAAGGGGGTGCAGGGATAGGACAAGGGGGAACGGCTCTAAACTAGAAGAGGGCAGATTGAGATTAGAGATTAGGAAGAAATTCTTCCCCATGAGGGTGGTGAAACACTGTCCCAGGCTGCCCAGAGAAGCTGTGGCTGCCCCCTCCCTGGCAGGGTCCAAGGCCAGGTTGGATGGAGCTCTGAGCAGCCTGGGCTGGGGGGAAGATGTCCCTGCTCCTGGCAGGGCGGCTGGAACCAGATGAGCTTTAAGGTCCCTTCCAACCCAGACCACTCTATGATTCTATGATATTAAGCTTTAATATTGCGACCTTTAAGATGCAAAAGGGAACTTCTGAGCCTCTGTAACTGTCCAAGGGTGGCTTTGTGCTCTTGCAGAAGCAGTGAAAGGTCAGACCGGCGTCTCTGCAGCAGCCAGGGCCGTGTTGCCATTAACCTGTCGCTACGGGTGACACTTTGCTCACTCCTCTGCAAAACCTTTTTTTTGCTGGTGACAGAGACAGGAACCCCCAGCCGACACGGCCCGAGGCAGCGAGCCTTCACTTGAAGGATGACACCCAATTACAGCTCGCTCGCTGCGATTGCTTCCCCTTTCCTTGCGTGTGCGGCTAATTTAAAGCTCCCTGCTTGCCTTGTCTGCCAGGCATCTGCCTCCCCGGCAACACAAGGAGCTGAACTAAGGCATCTGAGTTATCTACCTATAGTTAAAAAATAAAAACAAAAGGGATGAAAAGAGGAAAAGCCACAGGAGCAGCAGCAGCCAAGGGCGCTGGGAACCGACGACCGGCTGGAAGGCGGCGATGACCGCCCAGCGACAAGCAGCAGCGCAGCGGGACGCGACGGCAGCTCACCAGCGCTCGAGGAGCCGAAAGGCCTCGCGCAGCCCGGCTCCCACCCCCGGGCAGCCCGGCGAGGG